GATTATTTAATGCAAAAATGTAACAATACTTTAGTCCTTAAAAAATTGGCACCAGTCCCACCAGGAGCACAATATCAGACATTGCAGGATGTAAAGAGGATTAGAGGGAAGGAAAGGCGAGGAGGAGTAAAAGAGAGGAGATCATGAATTCCTGCTGTGTAAAGAACGATTAGCCCAATGATCTGTTAAGCAAAACTGGTTGTGATTTACATGAAGAAAATGATACCTAAGTAGGAATCGGGCCTTGGTGAACCATTCCTTGCAATTTCACCTACACCACAGAAAGGAAAAGGACAGCTTTGGGCTGGACCCAGCTTCTGCAGGGCTGCACTTTTGCCAGTGCTGCGGAAGGCAGGTTGCAGGAGAGCATAGCTGGAGCGGGAAGAAATGAAGAGAAGAAATGAGGAGGGCTCACTGCTTCCAGTAGTGTTTAGACGTATTCTGGATGAAAGCACCCAAGAAATCATTATTTCAGTAGGCGAGGCCTCCTGCTGTGTCCAGATGAGAGGTGTGAACTGATTCTTGCTTAAAACTCATGCTAAAGGTTGTCACCTCAGCCAGCCCAGCCTTTTTCCTCCTCCTTTATCCATGATTCCTATTCAGGCTGTGGGAGCTCTGTGTGCATCAAAGATACAGGAGCAAAAGGAAAGCCTAAAAGTCTTTTGAACTATATATCCACCTGCTAAAAACAAAAGGTGGCTTTGTATACTTGAGACTGAATGTACCGCATTGCAACAGAAGTGAAGAACAGCGAACATGGAGAGGAGTCCCTCAGAAATAGGTGTTTAACAGGGTGTTAAATCAAGCAGCGCAACGACACATAGCACAAGAGATGCAAACCCACTGCCCCCAAAAACCCATCACCTCAGAGGAAGAGAAGAACCTCCTCCTGAAAGCTGCCAGAGAGAACGTTCACTCCTCATCTGTAAGTCTTTAGCAGGTAACAGAGCAGGTAACAGCTGGGATGGTCTTGCTTTTATATTCCCACTTCCCAGGTGGCCAAGGTGGCCACCAGCACCCTGGCCTGTGTCAGGAACAGTGTGGGGAGTAGGACTCGGGAAGGGATCGTCCCCCTGTATGGGGCACTGGTGAGGCCCCACCTCGAGGACTGGGTCCAGTTTTGGGCCCCTCACCACAAAAAAGACATTGAGGGGCTGGAGCGGGTCCAGAGAAGGGCAACGGAGCTGGTGAGGGGTCTGGAGAAGAAGTCTCCTGAGGAGAGGCTGAGGGAGCTGGGGGTGTTGAGCCTGGAGAAAAGGAGGCTGAGGGGAGACCTTCTGGCTCTCTCCAACTCCCTGAAAGGAGGGTGTAGCCAGGGGGGGTCGGTCTCTTCTCCCAAGGAACAGGCCATGGGACAAGAGGAAACGGCCTCCAGTTGCGCCAGGGGAGATTCAGATTGGAGATTGGGACAAATATTTCCAGGGAAAGTGTTCTTAAGCCTTGGACTGGGCTGCCCAGGGAAGGGGTTGAGGCCCCATCCCTGGAGGGATTGAAAAGCTGGGTTGACATAGTGCTTAGAGACATGGGTTAGTGATGGGTTTTATCAGAGTGAGGTTGATGGTTGGACCAGATGATCTGAAAGGTCCCTTCCAACCCAGACAGTTCTATGATTCTATGATTCTATGATTTTGCATCTATGAGAGTAGGAGGTGTAAGAAAAGAGAAGCCACGCACATTTATATTAAAGGCTCAGTTCTGATCTTTATCACGGGGACGCAGTTACCGGCGCTGGTGTTCACCGAGGGCAGGAAACTGTTCAAGATGAAAGCGTGTTCTTTGCACAGTGAAATGTCTACACAGAGACCAGAGATTTTTTTTTAAAAAAAAAAAGGTTCTGCGTTTACCTTTTCAGGCTCTGCAACAGAGAACAAAAGACTTCCCCATTAAAGAAGAAACCATGCATACAGTGATTTTTAAAAAAAATATTACAGAACAGGCTATTTTATATATGACAGTGTAATTTTTGAGTGGATGGTTGTTTTCAGTTCCAGACCAAATATGAGGTACCTTGGTCAGACAAGCTGTTCAGAATTTCTGCTTTGTCATCTGATCAATTTCTTAAAACACATAAAACGAAGAAAGTACTTCCTAAAATTTATATCCTGCCACAAGCTAAGGGACATGTCCCAAGTATTCGCATGTATATCGCTACATCCAGCCACAGACTGCAGCTGGGAGAGGCCTCACCTATAGTTAATCTTACACATTGTATATGTATTTTGATAGCAATAAAATTACTCAGCACAGAAAACTAAAGATCAATAAGTCTGTGCAGTGTCTGGATCTTCAATTAATAGTTTACGGTCTGGCTCACTGACAATTACTAGCAAAAAGTGATGGCATAGTCGGGAGTAAATATTTAATGGGATAATGAAGTCTCCTGTGTCCGTGTTTTTTGGCTGGGTTGCAGTCTTCTTGCAACCTGTTTCTACACCAGGCTGTTCCCATGTGGGGTACAAACTCCTGAAGGCTCTGACAAGCATTGACTCTACCATTTATTTGTAAACAGAAAATACTTATCCTGGGTTATTGCACAGCGCCCCTTCACCCGCAGCCCTTCTCCTGGATGGAGATGGTGGAGACGGACTCAATTTATGTTGACAGGGTTCCCCGGGTGTCCACAGAATCACAGAATATTCATGATTGGAAGGGACGTTTGAGATCATCAAGTCCAATCACAAACCAAACCAAACCAAACACAAATCACCACACACCACACCACATCCACCCACAAACAGACCCAACCCAACAATCCCAGGCACTAGAGCATGCCCTCAAGTGCCACATCTACATGTTTCTTAAGTACCTCCAGGGACGGTGACCTCCCTGGGCAGGCTGTTCCAGTGCCTGACCACCCTGTCAGGAAAGTAAGTCTTCCTAATATCTAATCTAAACCTTCCCTGCCCCAACTTCAGACCATTTCCTCTGGTCCTGGCATTATTCCCTTGGGAGAAGAGGCCAACCCCCACCTCTCTGCACCCTCCTTTCAGGGAGTTGTAGAGGGCAAGGAGTTCTCCCCTCAGCCTCCTCTTCTCCAAACTAAACATGACCAGTTCCCTCAGCCTCTCCTCGTAGGACTTGTTCTCCAGACCCCTCCCCAGCTTGGTGGCTCTCCTCTGGACACGCTCCAGCCCCTCAATGTCCTTCCTGTGGTGAGGGGCCCAGAACTGAACCCAGCCCTCGAGGTGATGCCTCACCAGTGCCCAGGACAGAGGCACCATCACTGCCCTGCTCCTGCTGGTCACGCTGGTCCTGACACAGGCCAGGGTGCTGGTAGCCACCTGGGCACACTGCTGGCTTGTGTTCATCTTGTGTCCACCAACACCCCCAGGTCCTTTCCTGCCACGCAGCTGCAGCCACTCTGCCCCCAGCCTGTACCATTGCCTGGGGTTGTTGTGACCGAAATGCAGGACCCAGCTCTTGGCCTTGTTGAACCTCATCCCATTGGCCTTGGCCCATTGATCCAACCTGTCCAGGTCCCTCTATAGAGCCTTCTGACCCTCAAGCAGATCAACACTCCCACCCAATTTGGTGTGATCTGCAAACTTACTGAGGGTGCACTCAATCCCCTCATCCAGATCATCAATGAAGATATTAAAGAGGACTGTTCATCCCCTCCTTCCCCAGGGCCGGATCCCGAACTCCACCCCTCGACCCTCAGGGGATGGCGATGGGGTCCCCTCACATCTCAGGGCTCCGTCCCTTTCCACCCGGCCCCATGCGTGGAGTCGCGGGACATGGGCTGGGGGGACACAGGCTGCCACCGCCTCCTTCAATGCTGGGGGGCGGAGGGATTATGTGGTTTTTTGCCTTTTTTTTAACACGTTTTGGGGAGCGGGCTTCCCCCGCAGGCAGAGGAGGGCGAGCAGCCACCGGGCCGACATGGCAGCCCGAGGGGAGGCGGCCTTCCCCCCGCCACACACCGCCCCTCAACCCCCGGGTTGGTGTTTTTTTGCCTTTTTTTAACACGGTTTGGGGAGCGGGCTTCCCCCGCAGGCAGAGGAGGGCGAGCAGCCACCGGGCCGACATGGCAGCCCGAGGGGAGGCGGCCTTCCCCCCGCCACACACCGCCCCTCAACCCCCGGGGAGCTGCCTCCCCTCGCCGGCTGAGGGGCGGCCGCCGCCGCTTCTCACCTCCCCGCCGGGCGGCAGCCGAGGGCCGCCTCCCTCCCCTCAGGGCGGGCGTTGGGGCCGCGGCCGCCGCCGCCTCCTCCTCCTTTCTCCTTCCCTCCCTCCTTCCCGCCGAGGGGCTGCCGGCGGATGAGCGCGGCCCGGCGGTGGCTGCGGCTGAGGCGGGGGAAGGAGCTGGCGGCGTACGGCCTGCTCCTGGGGCTCTCCTTCCCCCTCCTGCTGCTGCTGCCGCTCCTCTGAGATGCGCCGGGCGGCGGTGGCTCGTCCCCGCCGCGGGGGGACGGCCGGGAGGAGCCGGCGGGAGCCCCGCTCCCCTCCACGGCGTGCGGCCGGCGGCATCCCGAGGGACTGAAGCCCCGACTGGGCGGCGGAGGGGGGGGAAGACGATGAGGAGCTCGGGGGGGTTTTACAGCGGGGCCCCGGCCGCGCTCTGCCCCCCTCCCCGGTTGTGATGCCGCCGCCCTCGCCGCTCCCCCTCGCCGGCTGACGGGGAGGGGGGACGCCAGGCAAAGAGCCGCTGGGTGGCAGCTCCCCCTTTTCCTCCTTCCCGAGTTTGGGCTTCGGGGGCCGGCCCTGAGGCGGCCCCCATGGGCCCGGCGACCCGGCGGGCACTGCCACCGCAGCCCCCTCAGCCCGGGGTCGGCGGGCCGCC